TTAGCCAGATTTTTTGAATTTGAACCATATTTTTTGACTCCAGCCAGATTTTTTGAAATTGAACCAGATTTTTTGACTCCAGCCAGATATTTTGAACTTAAGCCAGATTTTTGGAACTTGTGCCAGAATTTTAAACTTTAGCTATGTTTTTTGAATTTTAAATTAATTTTTGAACTTCTGATAGATTGAATCCATTCAATAACCACAATATTGACAATCGGACACATCAAATACAAGCATTAGCATCTTTTCCATTCACTTCCTCACGCTAAAAGTGTATATATTTTTATCATTACAGCATCTCGCGCATTAAAGGTACATTGAATTTGTATTTTTGCTGTTTCCTTTACGATGCGAGATGTAGTAACAAAAAGAGAAGAAAAAAAAATCGATGAAGTAGAAACAGCTTAAAGAGTAACAGCCAGAAAATGTTTGTGTGTCTCTCGAATATATTTTAACGGCGCTTATAAAGATGTATGGGATACAAAAATATCGGAAAAGAATTTCGTTAAAATTCACAAACTCACTCCTCATTCAATACACCATAAATTTGTAATAAACATCGACTTGAGGTCTCCACTTACTCTTTTACTTGGATTTTTTTTTGTTCGTTTCTTTATTTTTTTGTTTTTATTTGTTCCTTTTTTTTATTTTTGTTTTGTGGGAAATAAAATTAAGTTGAGGGTATGAGGATTATTTTATTGAAAATTGAATTGAATATTTTGAGATATTTTGGATTAAATTTGAGTCAATGTTCTAGAATTATCAAAAAAGAACATAATCCGAGGAACATAAGATTGTTGGTTCTTTTTCGTGTCATAAAGCAGCTATTATATCGGGGCACCTAATGGGGCACCTTTAGGTATTACACAGCATTAAAGTGAATCTATTGCACCATCCTAGTACGAACCTAGTCGCTAGTTTGATCCTAGTCACTAATATATTGACACAGTGATTAGTTAACCTGCTCGGAAATCAGAATATAAATCAAAATAGCCCCTATCCCGTAAAACAATGAACCTCTACCCACAAAAAAAAAAATGAAAAAAACGCGGAAAGAATAAAAAAAAAATCTTCTTTTCATTTTGCTTTAGTTATTTCATAACTATTTTTATATAGACGATACACATATCTCTGGCACATATGTATTTAACTTGTTTTTGAAAATGTCATTTTAATTTCTGATCCCTCTCATCCTCTCTATCTCTCATGTCTTTTTCCTATGCTTAACATTTCTCGTCTTATTTTTGAATAAGATACACACTGTTCAGTTTGTTGTCGACTTTTTTTTTCTTTTCTTCTTGGAACATTCGTTTGCCTACTAATAAATAAAAAAAATTGACTGATTGCGACGATATATAAAGCATTTCCTCTCTTTAGACTAAATATCTACATATCTTTACGATGATTCTATAAAGAGAGAAAATTTATAAAAAAAAAATATATAAAAAAAACATTCAGTGAAGAGGAAGAAGACGTTTTGTATTTCATCGGTGATGAGGTTTTTGGAGTTAAAATTGAATTTGAGATGGGATGTAAAATTAATGGAGGCTAGAGATGCAGGAGTCTTGTCAAGGAGATTTAAAATTAAAAAAACTGACCTAGTAGCTGAAAGTTCAAATCTTACCGAGTTATAAAATGACAAATGTTGTTTATTTGACTCAAAAGCATTTCAACTGAAGCTCACAGAATCGGACCAAAGACTAATATAAATACCGTCACTGTTGTTGATGATTGATGTAATAAAAATCAGAAAAGTCCACAATCTAAGCTTCAAAACCGCAAAATTCTTAGAAAAACATTTTCAAACCATAAAATGAACCCAAAAGTGGATCTAATCAACTTTAACCACAAGCCCACCAATCAAATCTCCAATATTTAGATAAAAATTCATCGCCAAAAATGTTTCGTTATCGTTTTCTTTCTTCCTTCTTCTTGTTCATGTTTCTGTCACCCGAGCAACATATTTGAGTAAAAAGCTATGGTGTGGCTGTCTTATGAATTAGTTGGGGCTAGGCAATCCTGCCTTAAAAAATTAATCTGGACTCAAACTGGTATGAAGACGTCCACAGCTTAGTTAATATTAAGCTTATCAAGCATTAAGGAGGAACCATGATTAATGATCAGCAATATGACAAGTAATTGAAGGATTGATTTCAAGACTGTGCATCCCGGGCTGATTCCACAAAACAAAATTCTCGATCTTCTTTCCCTTCAACTCATCATTCTGTGTATCCTCCTTTTGGCCTTTTTTAATCCCCAATCGTTTTATGCTTTTTATATAAATATTTTTTTGAAAAAACATTTATGTATTTATGAAATATGGCAACATTTTCTCATCTCACTTTATTCAATTCTCATATTCACAAATTAATTTGATAAAAATTGATGTTAATATTATAAATAAATTTTTTGTCTCATCTTGCCGTCATTTCATTATGGTACGAAAAAAAAATATATTTCATTTCCAACTGACTCATCACATATTAGTTTAATTGAAAAAAATTAAAATCAATTTGCATTTTGTAGATAAAAAAGAGAGAGGTTTTTTTTTATCTGTGTGAATATTTTGCCGAATGTGGTCATGTTGTGAACATGAAACGCTTTTAAAATAATTACATTTTTATGCGATGGAAATAAAAATATGGAATGGACGGATGGATGGATGGATGAATGAATGAGTCAAGTGAATTGAAATTCGCAATTTTCATTTGAGTGAATTTCTCGAATGAATGGGTGTCCCATGGGTAGATTTTTATAGATAGGGGTGATTTGTAGGTAGAGGTTGGGTCCTGGACTGGAAAAATATCGAAATTGAATTTTACACTGAAATAGAAAATGGAATTAAAACCTGAATTTTTAAAATTTTGATAATTTTTGTCAGAAAGTGCAATTTTTAAAAATTTAAATAAATAAAATTACCATTTTAAGACTAAAATAGTTAAATTTTGAAATTTACAAAAATTAGAAAACTCAACAACTTTCAAAAAATTCCCCTAACATGGGGTTCTCCCCCCTCAACATTTTAAAAAATTTAATCGTAAACAATCACTTTTTGGGGTGTTGATGAAACATTTATTTTTTTTATTCACTCACGCATGAATGAAATTATTTTTTTTCCATTCGTTAATTTCAATTAAATTAAAAATATATTTTTTTATATCCATTGTCTATCAACAATGTTGCGTTAGGAAGAATTTCATTCAATTATCGTAAAATTTTTTTTGTTATTAATGGTGTTATGGTTGCAAAAAGAGGAAATGCGAATACATTGTGTGCGAAAAAGATGGATTTAAAAATACTCTGTTAATTGGCTTTTAAAAAATTGAAATTGAAATAAATAAATTGTAAAAAAATTTCAAATAATTTTTTTTCAACTTCCAAATTTTTTAAGAATTTAATAAGTCATAAAAAAAGATTTGTCAATTTTAAATTAGATTTTTTAAAAATATCCTAGTTCTTATCTTATTTAATCAATTCCACACCTCATAATACAGTACCCGCCATCCACATCCACCCAACACCCCCTCATTGCCCAAACAACAAATCCCCAAACTCATAATAACAAGAAATTACTTTCAAATGTCTATGACATCGCCATTTTGATTTATGTCTAATGCATAGCATAAAACATATATCAATATGTTGAACTTGAGAAAGAAGAAAGGCATAGAACACATAAATTGTGCGATGGAAGTAGCGAAAAACAAGAAATTGGAAAATGGAGAGAATGAGAGCGAAATGGCATACAAAAAAATTATGAGAGGAATCAAAATGAGAGGGAAGTGAGGGAAGAGCGAAGACACTTTCGGTACTAGATTGTGTGGATTTGAATGAATTTGGTTGTTCTTTGGAAATTTGAGAGTCGTTGGAGTTGATGTGGGAAATTTATGATTTATTTGAGGATTAATTGATTGATTATGGATGAATCAATGGATAATTATTGAAATAAATTTAAATTTTTGGTTTATAATTCTTAAAAATCGTTAGTAATTTTTTTGAATATTTAAATACTAGACGGTGATGCGAGTTGCCTAATTTGAAGGGGCTAAACTTTTTTGACAGCATTTTAAAACCAAAAGTTCTTAATTCAAGCTCTGTTTTAAGTCACTTAGAACTTTGAGTGACCCAAAAGTTCATTAGAATATTTAAGAATCGTTAATTTTGATAGATTGATGAATGTTTTTTTAACTTTTTAAGCTTTTAATTGAAAATTAGGTTTTAAAATATTTTTATCTAATTTAAAATTCCATTTTCAAGCTAAAAACTATTTTTTACATTTTAAAAATCCAAAATTGATTTTAAAAATTCAAAATTGATTTCAAAAATTCGAAATTAATTTAAAAAATTCAAAATTGATTTTAAAAATTCAAAATTGATTTTAAAAATTCATTTCAAAAATTCAAAATTAATTTAAAAAATTCAAAATTAATTTAAAAAATTCAAAATTGATTTTAAAAATTCGAACCTAATTTTAAAAATTACATTAAGGTACCATGGACTTGACAATATATTTATTAAAAATTAACTTTAAATCCCAATTCAACTCATTTACAACTTTTTCTAATAAATTTTCTCAATTCTTTCAATCTAATTCCAGGAAAAGCAAGTAAACGAAACAATATTTGTGAAACTACTGTTACCAACGCTTCAAAGACAACAACTTTATCTATACATATATACATATACATAAAACTTTGTAATTAATATACATAATTTAAGGAGAAGAAAATTTAAATAATAAGTGAAAATAAGTAACAGGAAGGCATTACCCACGAGAAATTTTCATTTTGTATAAATTAAGAGGAAATCGAGTGAACAAAAGGAACTAATCATTATTTTAATAATAAATTCTGTTAATCATCGGTAAAAAGTGCATTAAATGTGATCAAAATATATAAATTTAATAAATTAAACAAAAATTAAAGAAAGAAGCTGAAGACATAAGAAGAAGAAGAGAAAAAAAATCATCAAAAAACCTTAATTTAATTCATTAATATAAAGAAGCACATACACACACACACAGATCATCAATCATGACGATGAGTACAAATAATTGTGAAAGTATGACATCATACTTTACAAATTCCTATATGAGCTCGGACATGCATGGGCACTATCCAACTGGTGGTGACATGGATGCTCAGATGCATCATTACACTCAAACGCATCACAATCAAGCCGGTATGCCTCCATTTCCACGTTATCCACCATACGATCGGATGGGCTATTATAATCAATCAATGGAACCGACAGGCTATTCACGGCCCGATAGTCCATCAAGTCAAGTGGGTAATGTGATGGGCCCACAAACCCAACAACCACCTCCACAACAGAACGGTACAATGCAACCAATACAGCAACAACCTCAACAGCCACCAATTGTCTATACAAGTTGTAAATTGCAAGCTGCGGTTGGCAATGGAGGTCTCGGTATGGTTGTTGGAGATAATGGTTCACCACCACTCGAGCAAATGGGACATCATAATCATATGAATAATCAGCAAATGCAAATGGGACATCATATGCATGGTCAAGTGAATGAGGTAGGCGTGATTGCTAATTAATTTTTGTATTATGCTGCAGCGTGTTTTTGAGGCATGAATGGAATGTTGTTGAAAGAAATTCATGGCTGGGTAGATGACTTCACTTATATACTTTGTAGTCTCATAATCGATTAATAAACCCCCAATCAGCCAGTAGGGTTGTTTATCTGACAATTATTCTAAAAATGCGCTCTAAACACAAGCTACTTCCAAACTTGCACTTGAAAAAAATCCAATTAAAACATTTTATTTCCTCTTCCCATGAATAATGCAACAGGTTGCTCATCAGAATCCACACAATATGGGCATGTATACAAATTCTGGAGCTGCACCAGTTCAACCACCACAAAATATGATGCATCAGCAACCGCCTCCCATCCACCAAGGACAACAGCAACAACAACAGCAACAACCGCCAAATAATCACACTCAATCCTCACTTCCATCACCGTTGTACCCGTGGATGCGGAGTCAGTTCGGTAAGTTAGGTTTGTTTCAGTCCAATTTTTTTTCTTATTAATAAATATTAAGTTTTAACTAATCTAAAATTTTGTGTTTTGGCTTTTGGACGTATCAGTGATGTTACACTTTATGTAAAAATATCCCAGCATTCTGATATGTCCAAATTCACAGACTCAAAAAAATGAAAATATCGAGGAAACAAGAGAGGACGGGGTAGAGTGAGAGAGGAACAGCGCACGTTTTATGATAAAAAAAATATAATTTAATTTTCTGCATGCACTTGCTCATCATCAGCAATTTTTTGCTGTTCATTCTGTCTTTTTTCTGCCTTTCATATAAATTTAAAGCAATTTTTTAAGCGGGTTTTTGAAGGTGTATAGTGGAATTTATGTTTTGGCAGATTGGGTGGGTAGATGATGATATGTGGAGCATCAAGTGGTTCATCAACTAGATTTGTTGATGAACGGGCAAAAAGAGGAAGTCATATAGTCTAGATAGGCTGGAAATTTCACTTCATTTTGAAGGTTTAAGGGTGTAGTCAGGACTTACATACTTACTTCCTTACTCACGCTTAGAGAACGTCTAAAGACAGCTCTGTCTTTGGAAATGGTGTGCCATTTTGGGATATTCAGCATCCGTTTCCCAACACAACCAATCAAGGAGTTCTTCGGTTGTTACGACTTAATTTAAAATATTAAGTACTTTGGATCTTCTTGACATCCATATGACATAGAATCAGATAACTAGTTCAATAAGAATTTAATGGCACTCAATTGAATGAGTTTAATTTTTAAAGACATTCTAAATGAGCAAGTCTTCATCAAATCCCAAAGAACAATCCCTCACAACCACCACAAAATTTTCATACCATCACTTTTCATATTTCTCATGAATAAAAAGCGCAAAAACTATGTTTTTTTATTCATTTAAAATGAGAACGAAAATTCACCGGACCGAAAGTGAGTGAAAGAAAATTAAATTAAATTTTATGCTTCAGATTCAAATGATTGGCTCACCGTACGTTATATTTTGTTTGGGAAAATTCTGAGAAAAATCAAGTTTTATAGGTTTTGAAAAGGATGTCGTTGGGAAGGTTTAGGGGTCCAAGTTAAAGATAGAATGTTAATTTAAAGTGCATTAACTCGTATAATCTTATAAGAATCCTTAAAATTTCTGAGGGTTGACTAGGCATAAGTTCAAGGGGCAAAAAATTCCACAAAGTTCTACACATCAAACTATATTCCCGGTCATAAAACACTCGCTATTCCAACTCAAAAAATGATTTTTAAAATCTCACCTCATCCTCTCTCGTTTCTTCACGAAAAAAAACACAAGAAAAGTGATGAACTTTTTATTCTTCGTACTTTTTTGATACTTTTTTTTTATATATTCCTCTAATGAATTTTTAATTAAAATTTTTTGATGCATGAACTGCATCGCATGGCTTCTAATAATGAAAAAAAAGAAGGCTTTAAAGAAATTGTTTTGCTTGCAGATACTTTTATTCGAAACTGAAATAGAAGAATAAAAGATGATGAAAATAATTTAAAAAAAAAAATAAAGTTTGTGAATTAAAGAATTTGAAGGTTAATTTATATTGACTAAGATCCTATTTGGGTTCTAGTTACACCTCCAACTTCAATATGTAGAGTGTAAGAAAAATTTGGAACATTGAAAAGTTCCAAAAAAGTGTAATTCTGACTCAAAGAATCTTAGGCTTCAATTTAAATCCATCGCACTGTACCATTCGGGTTAGTTGAATTCAAATAAAGTGTCAAAACCAGAGCTCGAAGTCAATGAAATTTTGTATGGAATTAGGTCGACTTGGAACGACTCCGCTCCACAAAATCGATGAAAATCTTGAATCGGCTCAACTTTTCTGTATAAAGAAGTTGACAATGACATCATGACTTACGAGTCATCAAGCTAGTTTCTCAAAAAAAAATCAAAATCTAAACAATCAGCCTCACTTAACCTCCAATACCACCGAGTCATTAAAAACTCATCAGAAACTAGCAAATTATTCAAAAATATCTAAAAATCAACCAAGCACTAAGCATCTCCACCTTAAATCTCATCAGAAAAAATTATGAAAAATCTAAAAACCTCATTTTTTCTCAATTGTCAAATACTAAGAAGTCTTTAAACAAAAAAAAGAGAGAATCTGATTTCAAATAAAAAAATATAAATTCAATAAGCTTTAAAGTACGCCAGTCAAAGGAGAACAAAGAAATAAGATTTATTGTGATTTCGTAAATAAACTTAAAGCGAATCAATACAGAAAAAAATGTGTTGCTGTTCTTGAATTATTAATGGAAATGAATATTATTTGAATGACAATTAATTTTGTAATGTTGAGGAATATGTTTGGGGTGGGATGAGACAAGTGGGGTGGGGGCACATTGTGACATGAGCTATAGAAGCTTAGATCTAGTATAGATTGAAAAATTTAAAAATATCTACGAGCTTATAGATCCTGTTGAGACTGTTGAGTAGATTAAAATTCAAACTTAATCATTTAACAACAAAAAGCTACAAATTTAGATTTTTTCAAATTTTTAAACCTTAACGAAATCCAAAAAATCCAACTTAACTCAGCTCTAGAAAATTTCTCATTAACTTTCTACCATCCAAACCCAAAACACACTTCAATCTTTCTCTCTTTTCAAAAAACCCATCCAACATTTCAAAAAAAAAAATTACAGCATAAAGCCTGTAAATCATTACCATACGTTTGATCTTCGTGTATGTCTCACACGTCGTCGAAAATACTTCCGGGTTCTTTTGTAATTTTACAGATATTTCTAGACAAAAAAAAAGTTTGTAATGTGTAGTTTTGGACTTAGACAAAGGCAGAAGTCTAAAAAGATGACAATAGAGAACACCTTCTGTTTGGAATTTTTAAACGGATAAATTCTTTTTTGTTTTTATTTTTGCAGAAGAATTTTTTTGTTTCTTTTGAGAAATTTAGATTTTTTGGATTGTAAAATATTGAAAGGGAATTTTTTTGTATGGACTAGTGACGCCCTTATGCTGATTTTCTATTAGTTATTCCAATATTTTGGATGTTTCTGCCATTTATGTCATTAATTTGAATGTTTTGTAATGCAACCTCTGGGATAGAATACTTATAAAAGTGCACTAGACTGTCCTTAAGTTGTAGGATTAGCTAAAGATTTTTTAAAGATTTAATTTCAAAACTTTTTCAACTTTCAACAGCTTGTGAATTTTTTCTGACATAATTTTCAACTTTGAGCAAGGTATTGAACCTCTTGTCCTTCCTGGAACCTTGGCTTCGTTTATTACCCCAGTTAAAGCTTTGAGGGTTAACCTACATAAGCCTTCAGAGCTTATCCTAGCAAACAATCCTCAGCAGAACTCGGATGCTCTTAATGAAACAGCGACTAGCCTTCCTGCTCCATTGATCATAAAAAAATCCCACAAAATTCCTCACAAAGACACATCTTAATTTATGCAAAAACTTTACTTTCATTCACACTTGCCCAACTCCATACAAAACATTTCTATAGTTTTGTATCGATCTTTTCATCTTGACCTCTAAATGAATACACATTCAGTTACATAATGAGCTTACACTCATCAGCTGTTTACGTAGCTTCCACACAATCACCATTCAGACAAGCAAATAGAGTCTATTTGCCAGCACTGTTATTTTTATGAGAAATTTACATTCAAGAATAAGAGAAACAAATAAACTCTAAATAGCATGCAATGAGAATAAGAAGGCACCTAATAAAATATGTTTATACTCAAAGTGCAGTACAGACAATAAATTATAATGGCAATAAAAGGAGATTATTTACATTTTATCATTCTCATATTCGCTTTCTCCCCGGTACACAAAAAAAAAATCCATAATCTCGATGTTCCATTTTCATTTTCTATCTTCGTCTTCGTTTTTAGGTGAAAATTTATTGTTTGTAGATTGTATGTAGATTGCTGGATGGAATGAAAAAAAAGGCGAAGAGAAACACTTGTTGCTGCTCGCTCAGTCTTTCAATGAACTGAAAAGTATTACGTTTTTTTATTTGGTGAAAAAAAAAATTGTTTGCAAATTTTCATTAAGTTAAATTTTTAAATAGCGATGCTTGATAAGTTGGATCATTTAAAGGGACCTCCGGGATTAAGGAGGGAGGGGGGTCTTGAATTTTGTGGCAAATTGTGACAATAAAGTGGGGGCGGGGGGTAAGGAAATTTGTGATATCCAATTTCGCAAAAACAAAATCAAAAATCTTTGACTGGACATCAAGGGGGGGGGGGGATGTACTGGCATCTGTGACAGTTTTGTGACAGAGGATGGGAGCAGGTATACCAATCATGTTTTTTTTGGACGTCATAAGTGAATGACCCCTTGGCACAAAGAAGACTAAAATTTTAAGAAACTGCAAAACTTAAAATTATTCTATGAAGTTCAAGAATCAATAGACATCACCATAAACTGAATAATAATCCAAAACAAACCCCAGCTTCAACAGCCTCTTCCAATTCCAACCCCCCCCCCCCCTCTCCTTACATCAACAATCTCCATTCAATCCCATCAGTAAACACTCCAATGCAATATTTTCATTACAATCTGCGCAATTCTGCAGTATTTACAATTTTTATATTTATTCTCATACTTGCAAAATGAAGCTTATTTGCACCTACACATAACTTTCATTCCTGCATTCTCATTCTCATTTCAATTCAAAAGTGAGTGAGAGAGATTTCAATTGCCAATGTTGTAATAACAACAACAATCAGCGGCAGCAGCAGCATCGACAATAACAGCAGTAAGGCAATGGCAACGTGAAAAAATTTCATTTTTATTTATCTTCATTTACTGAGGCGTTGGTTGATTTCTTGTGAGTCAAATTCTCGAATTCTTAAGAATGAAAACGAATGGAAAAAGAAGAAAAATGTGTGTATTTTAAGGTTACAAGGAGAGTTCATAGAGATTGAGATGTAAAACGAAAATTGATTGCTATCATCTTGCATACAATTCGTTCTTTTTTGGAGTTGCTCG